AAAGCGAAAAAGATAAAGTATGTTTGTTTGAACAAGTTCCCATTATTGCTTTCAATCGGCGTCCTACATTAACAAGATGTGTAGACCTAATTACTTTTAAAGACTCAAATGTAAGTTCTTTCGTTCGATTTCTTTTAATAATAACTCTTACTTGAATACAGATAGATTACATTGTTTGTTATTTTGCTGTGAGTTCAACATTAGCAGTTAATTACCAGCAATTAGTTTTGTTTTAGGTGACATGTATTATTTTACTTCTTAACTAAGGGAAAGGGAAAGAAAAATTCAATACAAGAAAACAAAAGATTTTTTGTTTGTTTATTTTTCATAGCAAACTGTACACAGTACATTCAGCTATATATTATTACAGATATATATATATATATATATATATATATATATATATATTATTTGACTGCGTGAGAAGATTTCACAAAGTTTTTTTTTTTTAAATATGTTTTGTTATATATTATTATATTACATTCATAAGCTTTTTTTCAATGATTCTGTTGTTTTATTAAATTTCGCATTAAAAAATCTCAAAGAAGTAAAATGTAAAATCGAATAGCCCTTTTTGCACTTTTGCGCATGAACTCCAAATTGGCTGTACCTGCTTTTGCTAAGCAGCATGACTCGCGGTCAATACAAATCGAATGTTTTTTAAATCATTCAAATCGGTTGATGCGTACTCCCTAAAGCCTAAATCGTCGGCGAAAGTTCGTATCCGCAAATACTACACACACACTCCGTCGCACACACATTTTTTTTTCTTTCTTTATTATTCAATTGCCAACATATTCAAAAAAAATATGTTTAAAAACGTAAAGATATGCAAAAATTTATATTTTCGACATTTTTGCGATTACCATAACCTACCCTACAAGAATACAAAGCCAAGTAACAAAAACACTATTTAACATTTATTTACGCGATCCATTTAAGTATTTTTATTTGATGGTAATCCAGTTAAGTATTTTTATGTAACTAAGAGAAGCTAAGCAGCATTTTCGTCAAATTCTATTTTTGTTATGGAGAAAAAAGTATAAATACACTTCAAGACAAAAAAAAACTTTTAATATTCATGAAGAAAATATGTCGATATGAACCATCACTTAACCAGTCATTACTTCAATAGGTATAAGATATTACTTATGACAAAAATGATTACGTATTTAATTGTTTATTTATTTATTTTTTTATAGAAACGCCAACCGGCTATGTAGAGTGAATATGTAATATCGTATTGATAATTTCATAACTAAAGCTACTATAACACAAATTATTTCAATAACTAGCTGTAAGTGGAATTCTGTCTTAAGGCAATTAGGGCATCGTGCCTTAAGGCAAATTGCTGAAACTTCCCGTACCAAAAATTATTATTTTTTTTAAAACGATTAACATTTTTGAAAAAAAATTACTTCGAAAAAATTGGATTTTTGAGAAACTATAAATTTGACAAAAAATTACTTTTTTTCGAAAAAAAAATTTTTTTTGAAAAAAAAAAAAAAAATTTTTTTGAAAGAAAATTTTTTTTTTCAAAACAAAATTTTTTTGAAAAAAAAAATGTTTTCTTCATTTTGACATATTTTGGAAATTCTGAACTTTTTTTCAAAGCAATCGTACTGCTTGATCTGCATAGAGACGAAATGTCAAAGCGCGCAAGTGCCGCGCCGCTGTCTAACGCATAAGCATTGGTACGGAACTCATAGAAATGTAAAAAAAAATTATACTTATTGTTAAAATCTCTATAAAATATCTGATAATTTGATGTGCATATGTCTAATGATCATTTTTAACCGCCGAATAGCATTTTTTTTTACTTTTTTCATTAGATCTCCAAAACCGCTAGACCTGCCTTCATGAAAATTTGATCAATTATTCATCTTGTCAATACAAGTAAAATGTTTTTTGAATTATTCAAATCGGACGCTCCGTTCTCTTAAAAACTGAGTTACCGTTTTCGGCACTTTTTGCCCCGTATCTTCGGAACGGCTAGACCTGCCTTCGCCAAAAACTAATCAGCACGTCTCCTTATCAATACGAATCGAATGTTTTTTGAATTATTCAAATCCGTTGATCCGTGTTCCCGAAATCGTCGACGAAAATTTGTATCCGCACATACATACACACACGTACATACATACACACACACATACACACACACACACACACACACACATACATACATCCATTTTTTCTAAGGTATGCCAAAATGTTCAGAAACCTCTGAAACGTAAACATATATAAAAATTTTCATTTTCGATTTTTTTGCGATTACTATAACTTGCCCTACGGGAAGTTAATAAAACAACGAAATTTAGTTAATAATAATAGATAAAATATATAAAGCGCAAAATATGTTTCGTCATAAATAAAAGGAATAACAGTTAAAATTAGGCAATGAAAAATAATAATAGAAAATGATATTTCAATTAATCAAAATAAAATACATCGCACTAAAACTATATATTTATATATATATATATATATATATATATATATATATATATATATATATATATTACAAATGTATTCTGAGTGGATAATAGATATTAATTTGGAAATATGATCAAACAACACTCTTTTTGCACTAATTTATTAAATAACACACTGATGATGAGACAAACCTAGTCTCGAAACGTTTGTGAAAATTATTATTTAATAAATTAGTGCAAAAAGAGTGTTGTTTGTTCATATTTCCAAATTAACATAAATATATATATATATATATATATATATATATAATATATATACATGAAATCCAATTTCACGCGAGTTCAATCATTTAACTTTGAATGATGCGCAATTACGAAGCTCGTTAAAAATTTGCATTTGCATTCACAGCATCATACAATCGATTTTGTAGGACTGCAAAATGTAATTATATGCAATAAAATTACATATTGATAAAAAACATAAAATCGATAATATAAGACAATTGCACGCTGATCTAACCATGCTGATTACAATAATTGCAATTGTATAGAATGAATTTGATTCGTTAGTTTTCATTAAAGGTACTAAATTTTGTGTCTTCGAAGATTCACAAATTGATTTACTATAATTTATTCTTCTATATATCGGATCGCAAACTATCTTCTCCATACTAATTTGTATTTTGTTTTTCAAAAAAAAGAAAACTGTTTGTATTTTATATTAATAGTCTGAACTATGAACTATGAATACTATTAAAACTTGAAAAAGCAATATCAACTAATTTGATGTTGATCGAATTTGCAAAAAAAAACGGCATTTACTTATACTAATAAAAACACAATGGTATCAGCAAAAGAAACTAAAACTCTAAATACATACATACATGGTCCAAAATACATGTAAATATATAATGTAAGTTCACAAATATAGAATAAATACAAAGTCGATAAAAAATTTCAAGAATTGATGCAAAGTTCTATTTCCATTTGATTTTGTATTTAAATCTGGTGCTCATTCGCAGATCAAAGATTTTGAATATTAGCATAACACAAGATTTTCTATAATGTGATGTTGAATCGCTCCTTAAATCAATAGAAATAGAATGATTTTCTTTCATATTTTTAGGAAACACAACAATAGTACAACTACCAGCCTCGTCTTAAAGTAAGTCTTCAGAAAAAGTATTTATACTCCAGCTGATACCTTGAAAAAATTGAACGATGTCAGAAACGAGTTATGCTTTCGATTTCATATGATTAGAAAAGTTGAATTATTTCCGAACTTTAAGTTAAGAGCATTTAATATTTATTCAAAATGATAAATAAAATATCTATAAGCAAAATAAAATATCCGCAAAAAAGCAGGTCCAATTTGCTAATTTGATGTTTACGTTACAAGAATCAAATGAAACCAAATTTGGAAAAAATATGGGTGTGTGTGACGTGTGTGACGTGTGAGCCGATTTTTGACCTTTCGGCGATATTTCCTTAAAAACGACTGAACCGATTTCACAAATTTAAAAGCCAAGCCATGTTTTGTGACAGTAATGCAATCTCAAGTTTATCGATTTATTCATTGTTCACAGAAGTCAAGTAATAATTATCTAATTAGATTCTTTGTACCTGTGTCACCTAGCAAGCAATCTACAAAGGGTCTAAGATTGTGTAAAAAATGTTAACATAAATTTACACGATTAAATTACAAATTTTCTTAAAAAAGATGCTCAATATTTAAACAAAATATTTTGGCTTTTTGTAAGAAAATTCACCATGGCTATAAAGTTATGCACTAAACAGTCCTACAAAAATTGATTAAATTATATAAATTCATCAAAATTTGGGATAAAAGACTTCAATTTTAGGAAATACAAGCACGTGTTTGTGCAATGTATTTAATATAATTACAAATATTATAAATGTTCTTGGAAGATATCAATTAGAAATCGCAATGTTGAGATTTAAGTTAGCAAAAACTTAATATTCGAAAAAAGCGGTTGAAAATTTTATCTAAATATCTAAGTCTCAATTTTAATTGATTATGTCAATTATTACACATATCGGGAAGTTTCTGCAATTTGCCTCAAGGCAGATCGGCCTTATTACCTTTAGAAATAAAATAATATTCAACGTACCGTCGTAAATTAAAAATGGCAAGTGACCTACTAAGTTTAAAAAAACGTAAAAAAAATCCTTTACGAGTTAATCTAAACAAGACATGTAAATGTAGCAGATGCTAGACTCAAAACAATTTAAAAACATGTTCTAAAACAACATATCCAAGTTAAAAGAAAAGCGAAGTAAACAAATATAGTTAGAAGAGCGACAAATGTAAACATTTATATTAGTTCGACGCATTTTCCGCAACACAAAATGAAAAAAGTCGTAATTATTTTACTAGTGAATTAATGTGTTTGATTAGCTGAAAGAGTGCCTATAAGACGGAGTTTATTATGCGTATGGAATCTTTCCTTAACAAAAATTCTCACAGAGTACGACATTCTTGTAATATAAACAATGCTAAACAGTTTGAAACAATAATTCGATGTAAAAATTGTGTCTACATACCAATTTGAAAAGTTCACAATCTGAAGAAATTAATCCAAACTTTATTGTCGGTTTTATAAATGATCTGAAAAAAAAATAAACCTAATTTAAAAAATATCTACAATATTATACACTTCATATATGATATATAATAATGCAATAACTAATACGAATGCTAAAATGAACGATTTATCATCACCCGCAATTATTTGAGTCACTGTAATAACAAATTGAATCAAAATAATGTTAAATTAAAAGTTCTTATATTATCCATTGACATTGCTAATTAAATCGGTAATTCAATTAAATTAGTTATTGATAAAATGATCAAAAACAATGAAAATTATAATTAGTTTAGATGTTTTCAATTTCTTCATATATACTTTGATATTTAACGCGAAGTATGAATATTGAACTCTATAAATGATATCACTGTTATTTGATGCCATAATTATATTTGATGTTCATTTTAGATTCAAGAGTTTTTTATATAACGTGTATAAAAGCTCACACGTGGGTTAGGTAAAAAGAACCAATTGAACCTTTAAAAAGCAAAGGTGTAAAAAACAAAATAGAGTGAATAAAAAAGTAAATTTTGGCGAAAAAAAAAAGTTTTATAAGAGGCAAACTCAATAAATAGTTATTCCACCTCTGCTGATGAATATTTTTGACAACCAGATCAAGATTATTAACAGTGGTATCTCTGTAAAACTAACAAGAAATTTATAGTTGGCATTGGTTAAATAATGTAGCAATTATTTTGCAAAATCCCTTTAAATTGAAATATTGGACCTGTTTGTCCTCTGGCCGTTTCAATTTACCCCGCTCATGGGGTAAAAAGGACCAGGTTACAAATTTTTGAAAAACAAAAAAAGACATTTAGACAATGATGAATTAGCTGGGAGTTTTACTGAACATAGTCAGATAGTTGTATGTTCGATATGTGTTATTTTTTGTGATATACTTTGGTTTTCACAATATAATTGCTCAAAGTCAAATTAGACCTTTGTGTCCCACACCCTACCCTATATATAGTAAAATTTAATTAAGATTTTACCGACAAAAACTTTTGCCGCTTTTTCCTAGAAATATAGTTTCAAGAATATAGAAACAAAGTTTCATAGGATAGAGATAGAATATAATTTTAGTAAAAGCATTAGAAAAGAAACGCAATAAAATAGATTTTAACAGAACATCTTATGTCATAAATGCTAAGTACCATCATCACAATGAGCATGTACTACGGTCTACGTACTACTAGCTAACTTCTTCGTTTAATGCGTTTTTTCACATATCTCGCCACAATTTTCTTAATGCGCTATAGTTGCACCCGAAAGCTTAGATTTTTCCCTTTTAGCAACGAAGGCCGTAGCCGTAGCCGTAGCAGTCGCCGTAGATGTTTCGTACGCTCGCTCGTAGCCAATAAGCAAGAGCCATTAGTGAGATCCCGTAGCGGAACGCAGGTATTTGGCATATGTTCTCGTGTTAATAGCACATTCCGAAAATTAATGTCATAAAATAGATAATTACGTGGGTTTACAAGGTAATATCGTCCTTAGGGGAAAACGAAAATGTTTGATTAACTTTTATTTCAACAATATAAAGAATCTAGAAGAAAAATATACCAGACATTCTACAAAAACATACCATCCTATAGTGTGACAATACTTATTTGTGATTTGACATCCTAGACAATATGTATTGTACATCGCTATCATTTAAAAAAGCGCATATTTAATTTTAAGAAAAATAGTGGTGGATGGCATCGTGATTTAAGGCAAATTGATAGAACTCTTCGTACTGTGAACAGAACAACTTTTTTGAAGATTATTTTTTCTTTGAAAATTTTGATTTTTTTTGAAAATTTTGAAACCTCCGGACCCTGTCTTATTTAAAAACTAACCATATTTTTCAATAAACTCGCACTAAAATTCGATCGACATATCGAAACGCGATAGCGCCGCTTTGCAGAATAACGGATTAAATATTGTGAATCTTTTTATTCGTTTTATTGTACTTAGCAAGCTATACACACAGTACATTCAGCTAATTTACAGGTATATTTATTCGACAGCGTGAGAAAGATCGCTATCCTGCTATAGCACCTTCTTAGATATTATGTGTTTTATTGAAATAAAAAAAATGAAAAAAAATCCGCTAATAATTAAAATATCTGATAATTTGATATGCATGTGTCCAATGATATGACCGCTAAATAACATTTTTTTCCTCTGTATCTCTGAAACCGCTGGACCAGCCCTTCTAAAAATTTAACTAATTCTTTATTTTGTCAATATAAGTGATGTTTTTTGAATTGTTCAAATCGGACGCTCTGTTCTCTCAAAATCACCATTTTTCCACTTTCTGCCTCGTATCTTTGAAACAACTGGACCTGCCTTTGCCAAAACTAATCAACACGCCCCCCCTGTCAATACGAATCGAATGCTTTTTGAATCATTCAAATCAGTTGATTCGTGCGTCCAAAATCGTGAACGTAAAAATTGTATCCAAACATACACACATACTTCCTGCATACGCACAAAAACACACATACACGCATACACACACACTACACATGCATACATCATTTTTTTCTAAGGCATGCTAAAACGTTCAGAATACTGTGAAACGTAAAAATATGCAAAAAATTTCATTCTAGATTTTTTTGAGTTGAGATTTTTTTGGCGAGTAGTGTCACGTTTTAAATATCTTCGAATAACAACACAGGAAAAATAAGTTATAATATAATTATATTATATTACATTAATATCATAATAATTATGGGAGTAAGATATATGATCTAGAATTTCGCATAGTCTAGAATTCTTGAAATAACCTTTTATATACACACTCTACAATTTAGTCTTGGATCTCAATCTGACGTAGATCTAAATTCATAATAAATAGATCCGGGTGGTATTACATTAACGTTTAATGTGATGAAATTTATTTGAATAATAAAGTTTATATAAATCGTGCGAATAGGATTAACTTCTAGATATGCTAAGAAAGTTTAGGTAAAGCCAATAAGTTTATTTTGTTTGGTGACGATTTGCGTCATTCAAAAAATATAGAACGGGGTGTAACATCAGCAAATATCATAATATAATAGTATATAGTGAAATAACACATTACTTTAGTAGATCAAAGATAGCAGTATATTAGCTCTTTGACAGCAAATATAAAATATATCGTATCACTCAATAAGTCCTTAGGATCATTTATATTTGAATATTGAAATTTTGAATTTAATTGGAAGAATTTGATGATGCTTTAAAAATGTTTAAAAACTAGAATTCAAAATGGAAAATAAATTATATCGAGAATTATTGTATTCTAATGACCGCCTATAGCAATATGAATTTATATGTCAGGTCGCTTTTTTATGTAAGTTCGAGCCAAGGGTGTTAAAATCTACTCAAGCTGTAGTACTGAAAAAGTAAAAACGATTCTGTCAAGTTGTTCTAAAATACTTTATTCATTAACTTTCCGTAGGGTAAGTCCAAAATCCAAATCGTCCAAAAATCGAAATTGATTTTTTTTTTTATATCTTTACGTTTTGGCATACCTCAGAAAACCTTTGGCAAACCTTTGAAGATTTCTAACATTTTGGCATACCTCAGAAAAATTGGATGTGTGTGTGTATGTATGGATACAATTTTTCGTCCACGTTTTTGAGCGTACGGATCAACCGATTTAAGTTCAAAAAACAATATAACATTTGATTAGTTTTTGGCAAAGGCAGATCCAGCCGTTTCAGAGATACGGAGCAAAATATGCAGAAAATTAAAATCGAGTTTTATAGAGAACGGAGCATCCGATTTGAATGATCCAAAAAACATTTATTTCGTAATGATAGGGAGAATTGGTGATTAGTTTTTGAAAAAGGCAGGTCCAGCCATTTCGAAGATGCCAAGCTAAATGTACACAAAATTGCAGTTTTTGAGAGAACTAAGCATCCGATTTGAATGATTCAAAAAACTTTCTGTTTATATTGGCAAAACAATTGCTCTTGGAAATAAAAATTCAATATTTTGTTGTATATCAAAAATAATTCAGATTTCAGATCTAATTTTAATTCTGCCTAAAGTTCTAAAGCTCACTTTAATATTTTAGATAAATAATTTTAATTTTGTAATTCAGTTTATATAATTCTTATAAATATTAGACAATGTAACAGTATTTACAATAATCTATTTGAAAACATTCAATATTCCTCGAACATATCGTTACGATACGGGTAGTTCCAGCAATTTGCCTTGGGGCACGATGGCATACACCACTAGTTTATACAATTTTTTATCTATATAAAATTACATACAAAATTGTAAGAAATCATGAAGCAGAGAGATATCGTAAATTAGTGCCTATACCAACGCCTTAAAATAATCAACATAGGTCTCCCCTATATCGCAAAAGCGAAGCATAAAAAAATACGATGTTATTTCGTCCGGGATAAATACTATCGGGAACGAGGATACGCGTCGTGTGTTTGATGGGAAGAATAACCGCGAGCGGGGGCTCGTAAACGCGAAGATAAAAATATGATTTTCATTTTGTTCGCTAAACACGCGAATCGAGGAAAGTGAATTTACGAGGTCAACGCGGGAATGGCCATAGCATGTTTCGTTTTTCACTACACGACCCATATATAAAGCATCTATGAATACATACATAATATATACATTATATAAATACACTTTTAGTATAATGGATCACAAAAAGCTTTTCAACTTTTTATGGTATTGTTTATGAATTTTCATTGCAAGTTTTTCGTTGTGAAATAGACAAAGTAATTATAGATTCATATTTAGGGAAACTATAAGCTCTGCCTGAAACTAACTAACAAACTAATTGTAAGTGCGTGAAAGAAGTATATGGTGAGAGATTTTCCGCTGCTATTTTACAGCTCGAAACCCGAAAAAGCTATTCTCAGTTAGAAACAAATCATGTACATTTTTATAATTTTTTGGATTTTAAATATTTTAAATTTTTCACGTATTTCCTAAATATGTATGTTCAATAACTTCAGGATTTTAATTAATAATATTGAGTGATTAAAAATTCTAATAGTTTAATAATTAA